TATTCAAAAAAGGGGAGGGGAAACAAGTGGGAAACTGTAGACCAGCTAGTTTGACCTCTGTAACAGGGAGTTAATCATAAAGGAAGAGATATCTGAACACTTGGAAAAACAGACCTCATTCACTGCTGTTAGCATGGTTTCATGAAGGTCAAGTCATGCATGACAAACTTGCTGGAGTTCTTTGAGGACGTAATTGGCAAGGTAGATAATTGGGAACTGGTGGATGTGGTATATCTAGACTTCCAGAACGCATTTTATGAGGTGCTGCATAAAAGACTGATCTAGAAGGTTAGATCCCAGGCGAATATTGGTTTGGTTGGAGGATTGATTAAATGACAAAGTGGAGGGTTGGATAAATGTGTCCTTTTTCTGGATGGTGAATTGTAACTAGTGGGGTGCTGCAGAGTTCAGTTCTCGGATCTCACTTATGATATACATAAATAATCTACAAATGGAGAGAATGTAACATAGCAAAATTCAAGGATGATACTAAAATAGATGGGAAAGAGGCTGCGATAAGGAGATAGAGTTTACAGACGGACGTTGACAGGCTAGGAGAATAGCCCAGAATCTAGCAGATAGAGTTTAATGTGGATAAGTGCAAGGTGATCCATTTTGGCTAAAAAATAAAAGGGCAAATTATTATTTAAATTGGATAGAGATTCAAAGTGCGTCAGTGCAGAGGGATCTGGGTGTCTTTGTGCATGAATCACAGAAAGTAGGTTTGCAGGTGCAACATTTTAATAAGAAAGGCAAATGGAATCTTGGCATTTATTGCAAAAGGACTGGATTATAAAAATAAAGAAATGTTGTTACAATTACATAAGGTGTAGGTGAGGCCAGATCTGGAATATTGTGTCGAGTTTCAGTCTCCTTACTTGAGGAATGATGTGGTGGCGCTGGAGGAGGCTCACCACATTGATTCCAGGGATGAAAGGGCTATCTACGAGGAGGGTTTGAATAGCATGGGCTTGTACCCGCTGGAGTTCAGAAGAATGAGGGGGGGATCTGATTGAGGCATATAAAATTCTAAAGGGGATTGATATAGTGGATGTTTAACAGATGTTCCCGTTTCTTGGACAGTCTAGGACAAGAGGTCACAGATCTGGAATGAGAGGAGGTAGGTTCAAACCTGAGATAAGGAGAAACTACTTCTCTGAGAGGATTGAGAATTTGTGGAAATCTCTGTCCCAGAGAGTAGTAGAGGCAAAATCAATCAACAAATTCAAGAAAGAAATAAATGTGTTTCTGACGAAAGCGCTATGGGAGCAGGCGGGAAAGTGGAGGTGAAATCAGGATTAGATCAGCCATGATCATGTTAAATGGCAAAGTGAGTTTGAACGGCTGAATTGCCTACTTCCACTCCTAATTCCAATGTTCCTGTGAGCTGTTCTTGTTACAATAAATGAAGAGAAACTGTTTGCACTGGAAGGATTGTCATTAACCACAGGACTTGGATTTAAGACAATTAGCAAGGATTAGACGGAAGATGAAGAGCATTATTTCTGTGCATTGAAATGTTAAGATCTGTAAAACAATGCCATATACGTATGTGTTAGCATTTGTACATACATCTGTCACTATACACTTGATAGTTGCAGCTATCTGTCTACATATACAATAATTAAAATGTTCACACGCTTAGTTATCGAATATATTTTTAACCACATTAGTTACTGCATTCTGATGACATGTAGGGGTAGAAAATAATTATTATTGCCCCAACACTTTAAACCTCTGATTCACTGTGTCCAATATTACTTCCCAGGTGCATGAGGAGATGTTGGATGTTTTCTTCTTAGCTAATACTAACTGTCATTGAAGCATGAATGTTAGTGGAATGATTAATGAATGCATGCATGTCCTTCATATTGCATCTATTAGGTATGGAGAATAGAAACAGCAGTGGCAATATAATTTGCCTTACTTTCTTCATTCTTCACTACCATTTTTATGTCATTGCATCAGAGAAATGACAAGAATGTGCTTCAGTTGCTTTAAGTTGTAATGCTGTTGACTGCTAAGCTATAGGAATACATTATTTCCTGCATCAGTGTGATCTGCCCTTGTCGATTTTAAATAAATCACAGCATATCTCATTGCTTACCATGATGAGGTACAAAGTTTACACTTGATTATTCACAAATGTAAATGCCAGTTATTGTAAGGGTTAATGGTCCAATATCTGTTCCTTTTGTAGAGGCTGGTTAATCCACTTGAATTAAACACTTTACCTTCTGAAGGATAATTAGGAACAGTTAACACCAATGGTCCTATGCGAAATAACTGTCAACAAAAGAGTCTAATTTGATATAATTTGTTCAATTCTGCAAAGAAATGATAGAGGTTTTGTGTCACTAAGTGACATTTTCTCTAAAGGAAGCTAAAAGCACTTTAGGAATTGTATATCAGGAAAAGGGGTTCAAAGGAGTTTTACAGTCAGAGCACTAATTTTATGATGTAGTTCTTGTCCTACAAGAAACTCAGTTCACATTCAAGATCCCATAAACATAAGCAAATGACTAGACCATTATTGTTTAAGGGGTTGTTTGAGTAACACATATTTACCAGGATTGTCCTTCATAACAATTACATTGCCTTTGCCTTTGGTACAACCCAAATGATTTCTTGTTTCATGCTCTGTCCAATGGTATAGCTACCATCACGGGCCTATAAACAACTTCCACCAGTGATTTCTCAACCTTTCTCTTCGAAATCTCTATCCATACTAATTCGACTGCCTGATTTTCTGAGTCAGAGTAGTTTCTTACTGCTGCCTTTGTGTCATCCTTTTATTATCAGGGGTACCTTGCATTTTCTAGAGTGTCTCTTTTCGAACTATTGTGTGCACTTGTGCGTTTATTTCCTAACCTTGGTCACCTTGTAACCATGTCTCTGAAATAGTGATAAGCTGAGATTTTGGAAGTAAAGTTGAATGAATCCCTGGTGTTAAGCTTGTAAACAGATTGTTGTTAATAAGTGACCTTTTGTGTAAATCACATTGATCTCCTTGATGTCTTTTACTTTCTCTTCTTGCAGTAGTTTAAACACTTTGTTAGGTTGAAGTGTATAGAAGATAATTTGATATTTAGTTACTTTTAGCTTAATGTACAGAAAAAGAAATCTATACAGCATTTTCACAGCTACCAAACATTTCGACGGACAGTATTGGAAGCTGTGAATTTTTACGGCAACATGTTCCCATAATGGCTTAGCTTTTTTAATACAGAGTCTCTTTTATACGTATACATAATTACTTACTGAATTCTGAATACGTTTAATTTTATAAAAGTAATTGACTGACCTATTAATGAATTAGCAGAGAACAGTACTTTTGTCTTTCCTCCTTTACTTTCCCTTACATGTCTGATAAAATAATGTAAATAAATTGTATGTGGGAGAGCACCGTGCAATGTACAAGATTACATGTATGAACAAGACCTTTGTGTTAGCTTGGCAGAGAATGGAATTTCATTTAGGCTAACTAATAAAAAGATTGATTCATTTCAATTTTTTTTACTTCAAGTAACCATTAATGATTAAAATGGTGTTAAGAATTTGGGGAAATTTACACTATCTTTGACACAATTTGAAGTAACTATGTTAAAAACTACTGTGATTTAGCAGCTGAGTCTTTCCTTAGAATTACTTTATTTTGAGTTGAGGAGCTATTATAAAGGGAGCTATTAGATGTAAAACACATTTCTTCTTTTTATTAAGATGTTTTTACTTATTTAATATGACTTTCTAAAAATGCAAATTTAACAGCATAAATTGTGGATTCTGACAACCAAGATGGCATTTATTGAAATTCAGTACTGGAAAGATAAAATCCTATTGGTTGACGTTCCTGTTTTCTTGGGTTTTTAGTTATTCAGCTCTTGCAGGGTTGATGTGCAGTGCTGATAAGTTTAAAATCCCTTCCAGTTGCAATTTTGGACTCCTAAAAGACTTGGCTAAGAAATGATTTTAACTGCTCGATTTCCATTCAATCAAACAAGAAAGATTCTGACTTTGTCATAACAGGATCAGTCTCTGATGATATAGCAAATGGAAAGTGACTAGGTTAAGCATGTTCGTCAACAGCGTCAAGAGAAGCACACAATTATGTAGATGTTTGAGTAATTATCTTGCTTTTTATACCACAAGGTAAAGGTCCTCATTGTTTAAAATCAGCTGTGCTACTAAATCTTAAGTAAAGCTCCATCTTCTTGTTCCTGTTAATGGTGGAGCAGATGAATTAAGAAAGTGACAGCAAGTTAAAAATCAGTCATTGCAATTTATTTTTAAATTATTGTGTTTTAAGAGATGTATTACTTAGCAGATATTAACTACAAGAAAAGTCACCATATTCCTGCTGGATCAAAGGACTTCTCTCTGAGATGACTGATGGTGAGTTTAACCTGAGGGTCACCACGCCTCTGGCGAGGGGAAATGTTGAGAAGGAGAGTCCTTCATAGTAACCTCAGTCAGTGCAGGATTTGAACCCATGCTGTTGGCTTCGCTCTGCATCACAAACCAACCATCCAACTAACTGACCATCCAGATATTAACTATTATTAGATATTAACTGTTCGCACTTGGAAGGGTCGCTTAAATTCAGCTTGTTTTAGTAGAGATGTTTGATTAAATAACTGTACAATTTTGATAATTTCAGCTGCCTTTACTTACTTTTCAGGTGGTTAGTTCAACGAATGGAGAACTGAATACAGATGATCCCACAGCAGGACACTCCAATGCACCAATCACAGCCCCAGCAGAAGTGGAAGTTATGGATGAAACAAAGTATGTGCATCTTTATGTTGTGTATTTTGCTGCATATTCTTGAACTACAGTTGCTTAAGGATTGTTTCTGTAAATTGAAACATTCCATGAAAAGAATCCAATAGTCTTTAAATAACTTTGTCATCTCTTTTCTGATACTTCTGTAATATCTTCCAGTCCTTGAAGATGTAGATTGTCATTAGATAACAAATCATTTCTTTGGAACTTAAAAACAAGGGTATTTTTCAATTGTCTTCTAGGCCAATTATACTACAACAAAAGCAAAATACTGCGGATGCTGGAAATCTGAAATAAAAACAGAAAATGCTGGAAAAACTCAGCAGGTCAGGCAGGATCTGTGGAGAGAGAAACAAAGTTAACGTTTCAGGTCGATGACCTCTCGTCAGAACTGGAAGAAGTTAGCGATATAACAGCTTTTAAAGCAAGTACAGAGGCGGGGAGGAACAGGGGAGGAAAGAACAAAAGGGAAGGTCTGTGATAGGGTGGAAGGTAGGAGTGATTAAATAACAAAAAGAATAATGGTGTAAGGTAAAAGGAGATGGTAATGGGATATAAAAAGAAACAAAAGTTGGATAGAGAAGTTATAATAGCAAAATTAGAATCATTACCAGTGCCTGCTATCTTTTTCAAAAGATATTATAACAATTAACTGATTATAATCCAGAGTTATTGAAACCACTGTTGACTGTGGAAGTTTATAAAAGTGCCGAATAAAAAAAATGAGGTGCAGTTCCTCAAGACTCCCAATGAGCTTCAATAGGATAATGTAGGAGTGCAAGGACATTTGAGGTCAGAGTGACAATTAGACTGAGTTTTTACATGTCAAGTGACCGGATGCTCAAGATCATGCTTGTGGAATGAACACAGATATTCAGAAAAGCAGTGCTCAGTCTGCGTTTGATTTCCGCAGTGTGAAAAGCACTGTGAGAGGCAAAAACAACGTACTGATTTGAAAGAGGTGCATGTTAGTCACTGTTTCAGCTGGACAGAGAATTCGGACAGTGGGAAAGAAGGAAGTGAAAGGGTAAAAGTTACATCAGTGTTTGCTCTGGAAGCTGTCAATGAAAAATGGGCTGGGTTTTGTGGTTAATTAAAGAGTGGACCAGGGTGGCAGAAGTAAATGGTCCCTCCCAAATGCTGAAACAGGAGTGAAAGTAGTTTGGTAGTGGCTCACTGTAACTTTTCATTGAATACACATGAGAATAAATGATTCAATTCAATTCAATTACATGGCACAGGGCAGAAATGGCAGAAGGTGATCTGTTGAATGTGACAGTTGATGAGTTAGAAGGTGAAGATGAGAAAAACTCTATAGTGATTGAAGAAGGGGAGAGATGAGAGTGTAGCAATTTGGGAAATGGAATGAAAGGTCAAGGGTCTGATATGGTGGAGGACAGTTCTTAGTTGAGGAAATAGGAACGCACAACAGAAGCATTGATTGGAGATGGTATAATTGGAATGGATGTGACGGAGATGAAGAAACTGGGAGAATAAAATACAGTCCTTTTAAAAAACCTATATGGAAGGAAGTATCATCCAGGTTGGTGGGGTGTTAGCTTACTGTTAGTACTGGTTGGTAGCCTTGTCCCAGAAATGGAAATGGAGAATTCGGGGAAGGGATGGCCCATGTGTAGATGATGAAAGGGTGGGTTTGGAAGCAAAGTTCTTGAAATGTTCAGTTTGAGGTGAGAGCAGGAAGCAGCACCAATGGAACCATCAATGTATTTGGGGGAAAAAAAAAAATGAGGGAGGGAATTGGAATAGTATGTTAACGCTTAATCCATGAAAGGCAAGCATAGCTAGCACCCATATGGGTTCTGATTAGTCTTTATTTACAGGAAATGAGCAGCTGAAAGAGGAATTTTATTATGGATTGCATCATATGGACTGCTGTTTTGATAATAGTTTGTAACACTGCCTGCATGGATTGTTTCATCAAACCATGAGACAAACTGTAAAATTGATAAAAGTCCCGAAAATGTGTTTTTGACTGATAGGATATTAACATTTACAATTATATTTTAATTGTACAGAGTGATGTGAAATGAGCTTTGTAACTCCAGTCCACATTACCTTTAGAAAGGTGTTTGTCACAACATGGCATTAGAAAGGGGGAGTGTCATTCGGGTTTTTTTCTAGGCCCTTGTTTTTATGTATTTCCCAGCTTATGAACCAAAGTACAGAAGTGTTTGCATGGATCTAATTTCAGTGTATTTGGCTCATGAACCTCAAATTCAAATGATTTGAATCTAAGGTCTGACCAGTGAGTGGAACTGAATTCCTTATTTACAAATGAGAAGCACCTGAAGATAAATGTCAAATGATGTTCCTTGTTAAAAATGGGCTCTAAGAATCGTTCTTGCTTAACTGTAATTTTGCTTTACAAATAAAGAATTTCTTTGCTGTCTGTTGTGTGTTGCTTGTGTAGATCTAAAGCTTGAACAAGAAAGCTGTTAGGTTTACATTTGTGACAGCAATTTTCTCACTATGGCCTCTGGTTTTGATTCCTTTTTGTTTCTGTTTGTTTCTTCCCTTTTTGTATAGCTGCCAGAAAGTGTTGAACATGTGGTGAGTGGTTTCAGTCTGCAGGCAGACAGGAATAGGTTCAGCAAACGAGAGCTGCCCGGTCTGTTCCCTAAAAACACCAAGTTGTCTGTTGTACATGAATTTAATTGGTTGTACATAAATTTACATATTGCTTTCATAATAGCAATCTTTAGAATTCTGATAATCCATTGATCATAACGTTTTATACCTTAGAAATGTTTTTGAACAATAAAATTGGGAGCATAATGACCGGTGACACCTTGTTGTTGAACTATTCTGCTTGCTTTTTCACTCTTCTGCCTTGTATTTTGATTTAGGCTTAAGTGTACTCTCTAAAGTGGTGTAATGTTGAGCTTGCTTATTGTAAAATTGTGCTTATTATGAATTTGTGCTTTACCTGCACCACCTCATTCTAGAGTCTTCAACTCTTTCATGCCCAGAGAAGATGCCAGTTATGTTGGTTTAAATGATGAAAAGATTCAGCCCCTGAGGCTGAGAGAGTTGGGAGCTCTTGAACTTGTGGTCTTGTGCACTATACTAGTTTCTCTGCTTTCCTACTGCTTGCTAGTTTTTGGTACCCAGCACTCCACTGTGTTGACAATTGTGAGCTTATTTTTAATGAACATTGATCAGTATTCTATTTCCTTTTAGACTAATGAAGCACTTTGGGCAATGAAACAAGCATGGCATGTTGCATTGAACTTTTTTTTTAATACAAAGGTTTAAGATTTGGTCACTTAAAACTTTCACTTTAAATTGCAAAATCTTTATTGTAGGTCAGGCGCTAATAAATTCCGTAGATTCACTGTTTGCAATATTTATAATGAAACCTTATGGGTAGTGAAGGATAAATCAATATCTTCTGCTGATTATCTCTTATCAAATATTACTAAATACCAAGTATCATATGCGCGTCTTTACCACTTTGTACCTTTGTAACTTCATCCAGTTTTTACACCCATCACCACTGGTTCATCCTCCCTGAAGAATTCTTCTTTCCTTTGATGCTGTAGTCTTGTGCAAACCATTGGCAATCAGTGTCTTCAGCTGTCTGAGCCCTAGACACTGCAACTCCCTTCATAAATCTCCCTGCCTTTTCAGCCTTTTCTCCTTCTTGATAACCCTACTCTAAAACCTACCTGTTTGACAAATTTTTTGATCACAACTTTTAATATCTCTTTTTCTTTTCTTTGTCTGCTTTCTGTTTGATTATACCTCTGGAAAAGTTATGTAAACTTGTTCAAGAATTCTAGCTGAAGAACAAAGTATGAAGCACTTGACTGTATATTTTGAAAAAAAATTTAGATTCGTGAATCAATGGATTATATTGCAATTTCTTGTGAGTTTCAACATGGCATGTTCCCATTCTGTCATAGCTGCTAAGTGGGTACCATTTTCTCTCTCCTGGTATCATAACTTATTGCCCAAGAAAGGAAGGCACAGATCATATGCTTTCATTCCAAAGTTGACAAAACTTCTTGACAGTTCATTTTTCCACTTCCTGTGTCAGCCTTTGGCCCTTCTGAATGTGATTGATTGATTGTCACGTGTACCGAAATACAGTGCAAAGCTTTATCTATGAGCAGTACAGGCAAATCATAGCAAGCAAAGGATGTACAGATCAAAAAGACTTAGACAGAGGCATACAGGTTACATTGCACAGGGTGTGCACTAGGCAAGATTAATGTTAGCAAGATCAACTTTATTTGAGGCTAGAGAGTTCATTCATCAGTCTAATAACAGCTGGGAAGAAGCTGTTCCTGAACATGCTCGTGCGTGTGTTCAGGCTTCTGTATCTACTGCCTGATGGAAGAAGTTACAAGAGATCATTACCAGGGTGCGATGGGTCTTTGATGATGTTGGCCACCTTACCGCGGCAACGAGGTGTGTAACTGGAGTCCATGGATTGAAGGCTGGCTTCTGTGATGGTCTGGGCTGTGCACACAACCATCTGTAGTTTCTTATGGTCCTGGGCAGAGCAGTTGCCATACCAGGCCATTATGGTCCCGGACACTGTGCTTTCAATGGTGCATCTGTAGAAGTTGGTGAGGAATGTTATGGGCACGCCAAATTTCCTGAGCCGCCTGAAGAACAGGAGGCGTTGTTGTGCCTTCTTGACTGTCGCATCTACATGGGTAGTGTAGGACAGGTTGTCAGTTATTGTCACTCCAAAGAACTTGATATTCTTCACCCTCTCGACCTCAGTTCTATTGATGTAGATGGGGGTGTGGTCTCCTCCTTTCTTTCTGAAGTCGATGTTCAGTTCTTTAGTTTTGTCGATGTTGAGAGAGAGATTGTTTTTGTTGCACCACATTAGTTAGATTGGCCCCATACGGCCATATACTTACTACTCAACACTCAAGCCACTGTAGCAGATGTCTAAACATCCATACAGGAAGAACAAATTGTTCTTCACCTCTCTAAATAAGTCTCTCTGTGGAGTTCCCTGCAACTGCTACCTGATCTGCAATGGATTGCATGGTTATTAAACTTTAAATGTTCTGCATATCCTGCTGATTGACTGTTCCATTTGTATTACCAATTTCTGTACCAGCACTTGATTGTCTGCTAGTTTTGGTCTCTTGAAATTCAAACTGTTGATTCTGATTCCACAGCTAGCAATACATTCCTGCTCTTGTTCCCATCCCATTCTTCATGGTCATTGTATTGATATGTGTCCAGTGCTGTCTTCTCTGGGCTGACTATATCACATTGTGGGTAGTGAGCTTTCAAGAAAAATTGGGGATTCCTAATAAGGGCTGCTTTCATTTGATAAAGAGACCAACTTTTCTTGCTGTGATTTATCTGGAGGAGAAAGAGAGAGCTTAGAGTGGTTTCCTGGGAGCCAGAGCTCTCAATTTGCTCGTCTAGAGTAATGACATAAGATGAAAACTGAAATGCGGGGGAACAATGATACTTAATGTTTTTGTTTTGAACAGCTTGCTGAGCAAATTATTATTATTTTACCTCCATCTACTCTCAAAGTGGTGGAATGTGTCACCTGCAGTACTACCAAAAGTCACCTAAACAGCAATACTTTGCACATTTTGGGTCCTCATCTCATGACAGCCTTACTCCAGGCATGAGCAAAAGACCTGAACTTGAGTTTCTTTTTATTCATTCACAGGATGAGGGTGTCAGCATTTATTGCCCAGAGTGGGGTTTAGTGTCAACCACATTGCTGTGGGTCTAGAGTCACATGTAGGCCAGACCAGATAAGGATGACAGTTTCCCTAAAGGACATTAGTGAACCAGATGGGTTTTTTTTCCTGACAGTCATCAGTGTGTTCATGGTGATCATTAGATTCTTAATTCCAGATATTTTACTGAATTCAAATTCGACCATCTGCCGTGGTGGGACTCAAACCTGCTTCCCCAGAATGTTGTCTGAGTCTCTGGATTAACAGTCCAGCGATAATAACACTAGGCCATTGCCTCCCTGATGGTTAGTTGAGAGTGACTGCCCTTGATATTAAGGCATCACTTAACCCAAAACTGCAATCAATGGAAATTGGAGGGAAAACTCTGCAGTAGCTGGAGTCACATCCAGTACAAAGTAAGATGGTTGCTCTTATTGGTAGATGCAAAAGATTACTGCTGGAGTTCTTCAGGGCAGTGTCCCCAGCCCAACCATATTCAGCACCTCATTAATGACAATAAAACATAATTCCAATTCTAATGATGGTCCCCCCATCATAAGGTCAGAACTGGAATGTTCACTCAGGATTGCACAATATTCAGTACAATTTGTGACAACTCAGAAGATCTAATCATCTACCCATGACATTCAATGGCATTACGATTGCTGAATTGCTCCATTATCAACGTCCTGGCATTCACCATCAACCAATAACTCAGTTGGCCATCCGTTTTAGTACTGTAGCTACAAGAGCAGGTTAGAAACTGAGTATTTGAGGTAACTGACTTGCCTCCCAAAGACTGTTTACCATCTGTAGGGCACATGTCAAGAGTGTGATGGAATGCTTTCTGTTTCCTTGGATGAGTGCAACTCTAACTCGAGCCCAGCATCATCCAGGAATCTCTTGGTTTTGCGTTTTATTATGGATGTGTAAGAGATCATAAGCCATTTAGTTCTGTATGTCTACTCATGCCGAACTGATGATATAGTTGCAAAGTAGCTGCTCACTTGTTTTGAAGCTAAACAGAAATGATAATTCTCATCAGTTCAGTATAAAAAGCATTTGCAGAGCACTGAAGTATATTTCATTTGCCTTTCCGTCAAAATTACTGAGTAATGAATGTTTTTCTGATTTTTGTCACCATTAGGATCTTTTATGTTTTTATTGACGTGTGGAAGTCATCACTGTATTTCTTCCTGTTTCCTGCTAAAATGGCATGAAAGTCACCTACTCATGGATCTGCATCTCTGCCTGTTAGGCTCTGTTACCATCACGTTTTAGTTCACCTCCAATCTGCTAGAAAATGTCATGCCTTGTGCTATGCATTGTTATGGTTCCTGTGAAGATCAACAAACCAGAAGAACCAAATTCACTGAATGGTCCCAATTGGATAACAAATAGACAAGATTTCACTTTCTATAACTTTTACTTTAACAGTCAAACCAAGGTTAACATGAATTAACAGGCAAATTATGGTCCATGTAACTATAAGGTACACGTTAAATAGCAGATACATCATCACCGCACTCAGCGCTTCAGGTAAAATTTCCCATTCATTTACTTCAAGGCCTGACCACCAATTTTCATCTGACTGTAACTGCCAACTAATTTAATTTACGACAGGCATGGTCTTCAACAAAATGGCATACTTCTGCAGAACCTCCTCAGTTCCACTGAGGATATTCTTGGTGATGTGGTTCCACTGGAATTGCTGTTGTCCAAGCCAACAGTAACAGTTCTTTATGCTGAATGGCTAGTTCTGATTAATCAATGTCAGTTTTAAAAAAAGAAATATGAAGCAGTGGCAGTTATTTTATTTCTTCTCTTTCCTTCCATGATCCAGTTGTCCTGTTCACCTCCCAACCTCTCTCTTATAAAGGA